AAAGGGATAATGAACTATTTTAGCAATAGAATTGCAGAGTGGCAATATTCTTGATTGGATAGTGTCTCTAACAAATTTTTGATAAACTAATTAAACATGTCTCTTATATCGAAGCAAAATCATTTTTTAAAAGTAAAACTATTAAACTATTTTAATAAATTTAATTATTACATATATTAAAATTAATGCAAAATTAATACTTTTCAGTTTTAACTTTCCTGTGGTTGAAAATGGATTTAACCATTCGAATAATTTAAAAAGCGAAAGATTCTGAACTCAACAGCAAGAAGATTTAAGGTTAAAGCTTACAAACCATGAGTCCAGCGTTGTAAGAAAATAATCTTGCACGTTAAAAATAGCATGTGAGGAACTTTACAATGTTATTTTGCATTTTCACATACACATACCAAAACTAATAAATAATAAAATAAATTTTCAGATTTATCATCCAAACATTATAGCTAATCACTTAATCAGAAAGCAGAAAGTTTGTTTGCTACCTAATAAAATGAACAAATAAAATAGAGACAGAATATACAGACTAACATATTTCTGAGACATTAAAATTCAAATCTGAGGATTCCATTTACTATAATTACAATTATAAATTCATTTTATAGTGATAAAAACCACGTGTCTTTTTGATTATGTGGATTTTTATCAGTGGGGGATTTTTATCAATGTAGGCTTTTATCAATGTGGGTTTTCATCGGTGTGGGTATTATCGTGTGGTTAATTATCGCACTAGGGTTTGTTTTGAGGGCTTTTGTCGCGTGCACTTTCGTCCAGTGCCTTTTATCAGAGAACTTTTTTAAACAGCTCCGAGAAAAATAGTCTTAGGTGATTATTGTTCTCAATACGCAGATTTCGCATTCTGACAAAATAGAGAATAAGCCTCTTAAAGGAAATATTTATTGCAAGCCCCTTACGCAAACGATCCAGTGAAATAAATACGCTGTATCTTGAATAATTAAGTCCTTTTTTTTATTAAATAAGTACACAGGTCTGTATGTGGCATTAATTTATGGTGAAATAATATCATATAATTTTTTCGCCTATCATTTGGCTGTGCTATTTTTGATAATTCACTTTAGATAATTTTTATGCCCTATATCATAGCTTCTTAAACTTTTTTCAGTTGCGACCATTTTTTATCACTGAGATTTTTTCGCGACCCTAGGACCCAAGACCGCATTTACGTGTAAGCTACACAAGCTATGGCTTAGGGCCCCCCACACAAAATTTAAATATAGTATAAATAGTATTTAAATATATTATAACAGACTTATAAAGAGCCCCATATCTCAAATACCTTCGGGCCTTATCAAGTCTAGATCTGTTTCTGCCAGGACCCCATAATATTTACGGAAATTTTGTGGGACCCCATAAACTTTGCGCAAATCCGATACACGCGTGAGTGAAACCGTCAGTTTTTTTCACTTGCACTGTAATATACCACTGCAAGTTTTAGGTCATTAACTTTAATTTCTAATTTTAAGACATAGAACAACGTGAAAATTTTAAATAAGTAACAGATGAAATTACAGCGTCACGTGCAAAGCAATGAAAATGAACGTTTATATTATAGAAAGAATGCGTCGAAAGGTTTTCGTTTTTTTCTTTGTCTGTATTTTCTTATCTTTATCTATTTTCAGATACACTGTGTAAAAATATTTGGTAATTGTAAAATTAATATAATAAGTTAAAGACATATCAAAACTGCTAAAATTTTTGGCGAAACCTGCTGCAAGTCCCGACACCCCCATGGGGGTCACGACCCACAGTTTAAGAAATTTTGCCCTATATGATTAATTTCTGGGGGACTAATACTTAAATTAGTAGCCCTGTCGTAACTGCTTAACTTAAACTGTTTTAGGTGTTAAACTGAAATTTTCAAACTAGAATCAATCAGATACCATGTCTTTTTACATTTTTTAATTACGATTTTTATATTTTTAAAATATTTATTTATTTATTTATTTTTTAACTTTTTGAAACTTTAATGGTAAACTTTGCTGAACTGTAACCTGAAGATTTCCAATTGTAATTTTTCTCTTTTGGTGGGGTGGAGATCACTTTTTAGAGTTGTGTACACACATATTTTGATGCACAATGGGATTTGCAGTACCTTAAAACGGAATACTACTAAAGTGTATGGTATTTTATGTTATAGCATCCCTTGTAAAATTTTCATCATTGCTAGCTTTAAATTAAATTACATTAATTGAAATATTTTAGTTACGAAAATTGAAAATTCATTGTTAACGTCATTAGCGTTGATTGTGCTTTACGGGAAGTTCTTAGAAAGATTTATTTTCCTCCTTAATGGAAAACTATTGCCTATAACAAATTTTAAATATAACAGAACTTAAATTACTGGAAATAAATTTTGAAACATAGAATTTCAAATTAATGCTAACAGTTTCTCAATAGGTCGAATTTTCGATTCACATTAGTTCCTTCAAGTTTTGGCTTATCGAAATTCGATTTTCGATTATGTGTGTGTGTTGGGGGTATTATTATTATTACTCTGAAACAAGCGGTGATTTTATAGATCAGCAGCTTTTAAAATGACCTACGCAGAAAATCAATTTTCAGAGGATGAGTTCATTTAGCGTTTTTAAATTTTAAGCTACCAACTAACTGCTGTGTATTTTACGGAAGTAATAAATCAAGCGCGCTCATGACTATAAAATGCTTCGTAAAAATTTTAATAAATTTGTATGATTTTTGTTTTTGTAACTGGCAACACTTGTTTAAATTTATCAACTGCTAATCTGCCGTACGGAACTCGGTATATTTTGAAATTCATGCAGATGTCGAACTGTAATATTATAATCTACATCCTCCTTTTCTGACGAGTATAATAGATTGATTGTTAGGGAAAGGAGTGATTTCATGTTGCCATACTTATAATTTAATTTTGCAATATTTACAGTATTATGAATAGAAATTTTACTTAATAGTATATCAGATAATTTTGGTATCGTTTTTAACGTACGAAGCTGATTTCTCATTAATGATGTTTTGAACTGTAAAAAACTGAAAATGAACTCATCCTCTGATGTTAAGACAGTTAAATTCATCCCTCTGATGTTAAGACATTGGTGCTGTCTTTCAGTTGCTGAATGTCTAAGGAAGTTTTTATTTTTATATAAGAGACCTTTAGCAAGGTTAGAATCACTAACATAGATTCTAAGGACCTTGTTATATTTATGTAAAGCATTTAAAAAGCTTTAATTCATAAATATTTTTTATTCTCTTCTCAATATAAATCGGAATGAAGGTGCTATCCGTGGTTTCATTTATTAGACAACTGTTGGTGCTACTATGGTCTATGTCAGCGGTTCTCAACCTTTTGACTACCATGTGCCATATAAACAAAAACTGAAAAACATTAGTACCACCACTACATTTTACAATGATTATTTTTCAACAACAACAACAAAAAAAAAAAAAAAAAAAAAACTATTAGATTAAAAATTGGTTACCATTTTAATTATAAAAATTTCAGTTATAATACTTTAATTCTAAAATTTGGGCCTGTTTAAGAGAGATCAATTTCTTTATGTATAGTCTTATTTCATTTAACTTTAACGGCAAATTAGGATCCACTTTTAATTTTGGTCTGTATTTATATTTCAAATATCACATGGAAAAAATCCTTGTTCACACAAACAGGTTGTGCAAAAGGGGCAATACAAATTTGATAGTTTTATTTGAAATGCCTTTAAATTCTTTTTTTCAGTTCAGCCAATAGTTAACGAATGTGTCATTTTCGAAATCTTCTGTTAGAGTTCTATCACAGGAAATTTCTATCAGTTGTTCTTTTTTAAGAGATTTTTTTAATTTAATAGTTAAAAATACTTTTTTTTTTTTTTTTTTTTTTTTTTTTTACGAACCACCTCTTGCGTTCTCTTGCTGATTATTATTCCAAAGGGGCAATTTGCCCAGAAGGGCTATTAATTTCGTTTTGGCATTTTGCATTGATTCACTATAAACGGCGAATCACTTTTTAAATAGTTGCCACCAAATATTAGAACCCTGTATTATATCTAAAGAAATTAAATAATGAAGAATCCGCATAAATGTATGTATGTTTTTCGCATTGTGATAAAACAACGGTACCATCAAATTTTGAATAGCGTACGTCTCCACCCAAATATTGGCATCTGGAAGCCCAAATTGGGAATCTGGAATTTGTTTTATTATATATTTCATATTTTGTAAAGCATTTATGAGTTTTAAGAAACTCAAAGATTTCACAGAGAGCAATGACAACACTGCTGTATGGATTAAAAAAAAAAAAAAACCGTGTATCGGAAATTGTATGCTCTTTTAAATACTTTGTGATATTGCTATTGAATTGAATTTTATGGTTTAAGTGCGAAGAACATGATATTTAATAAATAAAGGTAGCACACAAAAATTAAGAAAACGCCCCTGTGGCCTTTTATAAAATCTGAAAGCTTTTAGATTTTTTTTATAATAATACTTCTATATTTATGAAGAACAGAACATTAAAATCGTTTTCTTGATCATCCTTATTTTAAGAATTTCCTACAAAATCACGTTTAGATGCTCTTTTATGCATTCTATACATTGTGTAATAAAATTAATCATTCATAAAAAAATAGCATACTCATACGTCTGTATGCTAAGAAACCCGCAGAATAAACACGACATGAAATCAATAAAAATTCAGATCTAGCCAGAAACTCGCAGTTAACTAACTATGCATACGTAATTTTGCAATTAAATTTTTTTAATAGCATATTTTTTGTCAACCTCGAAGCAGAATATAGGTCACCCCAGCATCAATTTATCTATTTATTTTTAATATTATTATTGCTTGTTTTTGAAACTCATTATTTTCGTTTCGCGTTCCGCTCACGCCTACGGAATGTTATTACAGATTTCTACCTACATCCCCTCGCTCATAATAGGAACGATCCAATAGGAGGTACGATGCCGGTGCCCGCTTCTCTATACGAAACGAACCTACCCCTGGGGACTGAAATGGAACGGTCCTTCCCTTGTCACGGCGAAGTTATGGCTAGAGTTTAGATGATGTATTAGTTAACAGTATTATTCTAAGATGCTGCTCCCTGATGCAAACTTATGAAGGCAGCAGAAATAAAGCTGTGCATTTGGGAAATTCTATTGGTGCAGTTTGACACTTCGGTTATCTGTAATGGAGTATTTGGAAAAACTGAAACATTGTTTCAAAGGCAAGTGTGTGGATATCTCGGATCATTAGCCTTTGTAATATTTACATTTTTTTAAAGGTCACATTGTTTCTGGCCGTTGGCTGTAATCGATGTTTGTCAACATTTGCGCTGCATCCGTTACGTATTTTTAAAAATATATAGTGCAGTTTTATACAGTTTCTTGTTTTAATGTCTTTTTATTTTGGTGAATGAAACATGCCGGAAAAAAGTTCTTTTGACAGTTAGCGCATGTATTCTTTGTTTCAATTACACCTTTCTTTTAAATTATAAACAGCGGTTTCGATATAAATAAATTTTTTCGATTTCAGATTAACATGATTATGCTACTTAGAACCGAGAAGAAAGACATCAGATTCATATTATGTATTTAACAGATTAAAAAATTACAAAGCGGAAATAAAACATAACAAAAAAGTGTCTTAATTTTGCATTTCATTAAAGTCTAACTACATTAAAAATTCCATCTTGCATGTGACAATTAATTATCTGTACTTCATCTGCAAAGCTAAAGGTATTTACGTATTTCTTTGTTATGTACGAGAGCTACCTGGCATCTTACAAACAAAAATGTATACTGAATTTTGGTTTGTATAGAGTGAAGTCCATGCATATAAATATGCAGTTAATCTTACATATATCACCATCCATATAGTGTATTTTGATAACAGTATATTTCAATTTTAAAGACCTATATTTTCTATGTTTATTTTATTTTCTTAAGTAATTGAAATTTGATTTTTAAAAGAAAACTTTTAAATCAAATATTTGGGTATATGTTGTATTTGTTGAATGTTCGCAAACTGTGTGCGGTTTTTATGTATTTTGTGTATTAGCATAGTTTGAATATTGCTTTAGAATATATACAGGTATTCCTCACTTTACAAAACTTCATTCTTTTTTGATAGACCTAAATTATTATTTTTTTTGGAAAGTCGAAGATATTTTTTAAAAAAAGGGAAAAACAAAAATATGGTTCAATATTTGTTTTATGCCGTGCATGGCTATTTATGCATAAAATACAAATTTAACGCAATTCAGTGCTTATGTATTAACGCCACCGCACTTACATACTAATGCCATCACAGCAGAAGTTGCGTTGATGCGTCAATAAAGAGCAAATCCTGTTGTTCACAGGCAGTTATCTTTCGGATTCCTTTGCCTTGTTGTTTGCTAATTTTTGATGCCATTTTTTAGTGCTACAAAAATTCGTCTTTGGGATTTGCCAAACACAGAAGAAGATGCAATTTTATTTTTTCAAGAGCGAAATATTTTATCAAAAAAAAAAAAAAAAAATGTATCAATTCGCATGATGTGAAACTTTACTTTGGTAAACGTAGGTTTTGGAAATATAATTTAAAACAGTGTGATCAGCAAATGGGACTTAGAAAAGACAACTGGTTCGAAGGAAGCAGAATTCCTTTTTGTTCAACTTTGAGATTCATATACTGCTGGTGCAAGGAGTTGACGTCAATTAAATTTTTTGAAAAGCAGTTTGATTTATGCTTGTTTTAAAAGCTGCTAAATAAGCAGCTGCGGTGGCATTAATACATAAGTACCAGCAATTCTTACAAGATATCTTGATTACTCGCAAAGAAAATATGGAGAAAATGCAGAATTGCCCACTGCTTGGCGCGTTTTTAACAGTTGCACATACTTGGTATCCATGTACACATAAACCTATTTTCACTTAAAAAAAAATCCCAGAATTGTACAAAAATGGCATTGTGCACTCACTCCCTTGACTTTATCTATGTACACATCGACCTATTTTCACTTAAAAAGTACTTCTTCTTGCTCTTGTAAAAAGCGCCAAACAAATAAGTGGGCGAATTCTGCACTTTAGCTGAAAATATTTATCAGTTTTGGCATTTAGGCATACAATCTTTCATGGCAGCCTTGCAAAGTTAGATTTCAGAAGGCGGCAGTTACAGAAAATATATGTGTGGTTGTATATATAGTATACACACACATATAAATATATGTACACAGATGTGTATATATATGTATGTGTATGTTACCATGAAAGACCGAAATTGGAGAAGTCAACATTCTCCAAATACGTCAGTGAAAGATTGAATATTTGGTTATATTCTTATACATTCGAACCATCACCGGTTGTTGTTGCAATAAATGAGACTGTATAACACTAGTCACATAATTGAGTGAGTGTATATTATTGGTATTATTTTCTTTTCTCATTGAGAATGTACTGATCGTTTCGCATTCAACGGTTTATTTACATGTGCTGTTACTTAAGCATTTTCCTATTTTGGCATATATCATTATATATTTTAATAATAAAGTATGATCTAAAAGCATAACAAAATTACTTTTATTCAACGTTCACTGTCAGTGCCTAGCAAATGTAGACATTTGCCGGTTATGTGAGAAATAAGGATATTAACAACTATTTCGGACATATACGAAGTGACTCAACGAATGTTAGTACACATACGCATATACATATATAAGGTATATTTTTGTATATGCATGTAAACAAGATATTTTAATTATATAATAATTAGCCCAGAAGGGCTATTAATTTTGTTTTGGCATTTTGCGTTGGTTCACTTTTCAAATTGTTGCCACCAAGTATTAGAGCCCTGTGTTATATTTAAAGAAATTAAATAATGAAGAATCTGCATAAATGTATGTATGTTTCTCACATTGTAATAAAACAATGGTACCTAGAGCCATCAAATTTTGAATAACATAATCCTCCACCAAGTATGGGCACCTGGAAGTCCAAATTTAGAATTTGTTTTATTATCAATTTCATATTTTGTAACATTTTAACAAACTCGATGATTTCAAAGCAAGCAATGGCAACACTGTATGGGGAAAAAATTTTTTTTTATATCTAGCACGTGAGACTGTGTATCGGAAATTCTAAAGATATACTCATTTAAAAATTATTTTACGATATAGCTGTTGAATTAAATTTTATGATATAAGTGCAAAGAACATGATATTTAATAAATAAATGTAGAAAAGACTATTTTCATTTAAAAAGAATTCTTTTCTAATCATGAAAACAAAATGTTCATTTGAAATCTGAAAGCTGTCAGATTTTATTTTTTTAAATTATATAATGTTCTTACATCTGTTAATATGCACTGCCAATTTTTAATTGATACTTCTATATTTCTCAATTGTTTTTATAATACGTATATAACGTTGTGTAAATTTGTTCCTTTGGATTGCGCTCGGGAATTACATCTGGCTATTTGAAAATTATTAATTGAAATCCAAATTTCGTATATTAACACATTATGAGTGGGAGCGGGTATTTGTACCCATTTCTCAGATTGCCACTTATAAGCAGGATGGATACTAGTACCTGTTTCGCGGATTGCCATTTAAAAGTGGGGCAGATATTAGTACCCGTTTAAAATCACCACTTTTAAGTCACACAAGGGAAAATATAATGTTTCATATAATGTATGAATTGGTATATTTTTATTAGAATAGATTTTTAACTTAGTCAGTTTATTTGTAATCAACTTTTATAAATATCTCTTATGTGCTGAGACATCTACATATCCCTCAACACATTATTTGATAACACTGCATTTATGAAGTTTTCATATTACATTGTATATTACTGTTATTCATATTACCACTAAGCAACATAGTTGCGTATGTTAGATAGACCGTACAAAATGTGTTAGTTTTTCATGATTAGAAAAGAAGTCATGGAAACATAAAATCGAGAATAAACAAGATCATACCCAAATTATTTGTGGATTTTTCAAGGAGAGGGCTAATGCCTTTTGATAAGTCAGCCCTCTTCTGAGAAATCAACTATTATTTTTTATCTATTTTCTTATGTACTATTCTACCTTATTTTTTATGTATCTACTAATTTTTTAAAAAGATTTAATTTTTAATGTATACCAATGAAAATTTTAAACTTCTAAGTTTATGATCAAGTTTTTAATAGTTTTTTTTTTTTTTTTTTTTTTTTTTTTTTATCAAAGTCATCTCAAGAATAAACATTTCCTAATTTTAATTTGCAAAAGTTTTATACTTCCTCTCCTAGAAGATAATGATAAAAAGAAAATTAATAATTAAAACTTCAGAAATAGATTTATTTAATCAAATCTTGTATTCCTGATGAGAGCTTGGTTTAATGAATCATAATTATTCTTTTGGAAGTATTTTTAATAGTATTCATCATTTATTTTAATACGATATAAAAATTTTTCAGTTTTAATTGTGTACTTATCAGAATTTACTATCATACATCATTTCTAAAATTCATTTTATATTTATATTTTTATTTTATTGTTTCATGAGGATGTTAAAAAAATTGTTACTTATGTAAACTTCAAAAATGGCTTAAAGATGATTACTTTTTTTATGTTCTTGCTGTTGAAGGGGAAGAAACAATTACTTGATTCTTCTCTTCATTCAGTTTGTGCATATATATTCAGGAGTTGACCAAAATAATGGAAACATTAGATAAAAAGAGTAATTTTGTTTTTAATCCTTGTAGAGTAAATTATGAACATAGCATCACTTTTTTGTACCATTATTTTGTAAACAGTCTCAAGGTTGTGTAAAATGTTAAATAATCACTGATGAAATATAGTGGAATTAATGTTAGTTTTTATTGTTAACTCAAATCTTATATTATCCTAATTTGTTTTCCTTCTCTTCCTCCAGATTATGAAAGTTTCAACTCTATATATAAGTATTCAACGAAGTTTTCTAAAATTTAACATGAATATTTTTTATACATTTATACCAAAAATTTTTATTTTGAAATTTCCTATAAGAGCAGTATTATCACTTGAGACAGAATTTTTTAAGAGAATGCAAATCATGCATTGCAAAATAGTAAGACTGGTCAAGTAAATATCACTGTTAACAACATGAGAGTAAACTTGATTTTTAGTGAAGTTTGTTATTCCTGTAAAACAAACAAGATTTCAATTTTTAAAAAATTCAGAGTAGAAAATGTAACAGTATTTTTTTTCATATGTAAATATGTACAT